CTATTGCCTACTTTTGTATGTGTATGAAATTTTACATGATAAAATATTGTATTTGTTTGTTTGTTTGCTTTAAAAGTAAAGTACTCATTGGAAATTCCATGGGTAGGGCTTGCATGGACTGCTGGGCTTCTCTTAGGGTGCTGGGTAAGGTGCCTTTTTCACTGGGTGATCCTCTCTTTCATATTCTAGAAGTCTGGTCTCTGGAGGCCTCCTCTAATCTCCAACCTCAGAATAAGGTGGTGGGGGGGTTTAGCAGACTTTCACTTGAGCTCTTTGTTCTAGCCCTGCACCCCATCAGTGCCTTTCACCTTTCCTCGGGTCCCTAAATATGGAGCCTCTCCAGCTGGGTAACTGGAGAAAGGTTCTCAGTCCCCTTTGTTGGGGAGAGGGAGAAAGTAGAAGAAGGGATTGCTGTGCAGGATGGGATAGGAGACCTGGGTTCCAACCTCTCAGTTTGGAGAATTTCTATCAATCCTCCGTTTTCAGCCTTTTACCTCCTCCTCACATTCCACAATCCCCAACACCCCAACTTCTGAGCCCTTCTGGGTAGTTGGCTTGCTTTCTGGCCACATCCCACTCTAAGCCATCTGGGATCGCTCCATCCACTTTCCATCTCCCTGGAATGCATGTACTCTCTTCTCCACTGACATCTCCTTTTCCGTTCTGTGTCATTATGGGTGTGTGCCTTTTACAATTTCTAACTCTTTTCAGTGGAGTTTGTGAGGAGTGGAGATAGACATGTAAGATCAGTCTGGCACACAGAATGCTTTAAACTAGGACTGTCCCAGAAATTCCAGGATGGTGATCTCTAGTAATAGAGTAGCTGCGTGGTTTTTTGTGCTATGGCAGAGAGCAGATGAGACACTCAGAGACATGGATCATCTCCTTGTGGACTCAGCAACTCCCCTCATCACTTGGGAGCCAGGGATGATGGCTGAGTATAAACACATCTTCTGAGCATTGAGTCCACCACCTGAAGGAGTTTAAATTTCAAACCACTTTGGGGCTGCCAGATTCAAGCTTGGAGGATGCGGGGATAATAAGCTGGAAGATGGCTCAGGAATCACCCTCGGTGTCTGTTCAGGCCCCAACAAAGCCCCATTATGCCTCCTGATGCATGTGTGCCGAAGAGTCCAAATTTCTGCGCTTGTGGGACATCTGGCAACCCAAGATCATAAATCCGTTGCAATTAGGCCTCCAGCCACGTCACCCCCTGGCTCTCCTCTGGCAAAATTCACTCATGAGCTCCTAGTTGCCAAGTCCAGGATAGCTCATCATGCTGGTCCTCTCAGCAGCCCCCTAACACTGTTAATCACTCACCTCCTTTTCTTTCCCAAGATCAGTGTATTAAGTTGCACTGATAAATAACCATCGTAAGTGGGCTGATTTGATTTCCCCTACTTTCCCTCTCCCCCTACCTCTTCCCACTCCCCCACCCCCCACCCCACCCACTGCCCCATCTGCTCTCCTAGCTGCACCTCCCCTTCCTTCAGTACTTGGAGAATTGGGAAGGAGCTGGGTATTTCAGTTTTCCTTAAGGAACAGTAGTTTACATAAATTGTTTAATAGGGGTTAGGTACTTAGAAGTCCCTTTAATGGATACTGGTTTGCATAAACTGTTTACATTCAGATTTTTTTTTTAAGGAATGTTAATTATTTAAACTATCAATAAAGCATTGAGTTTTCAGTTTGCTTAAATCATACCCTGGGGCCTAGTGGGAGGATCAGTTGCCTCTGTAATGGAGTGTTATAACCCACGTGAATCCCCAGGCCAAGTAGAGAATAAAGGAAGCTGGGCTTGGCCCTGCCTCCCCTGTCAGCAACGTGGTGCAGCACTTGGCACTTTAGCACTAGGTTGCTGGTGAGCCACTTGTGATGGCAGACGCTTAGGACTGAAAGCTGATCAGCAGGTACCCAAAGCCCCCAGATAGGACAATGGCCAGGCACTTGCTGAAGCCAGGCTTTTACAGTCAAAAGTCAGAGCTTTCTCACCATGCCAGGCAACAGACCAGAGGACCAGGTACTGAGGACTAGAGGCTGAGGTCTGCGGCCAGCCTCGTAAAGGGGGCCCTGGATGGGCTGCCCCAACCTCTCTCCTGTTCTCTCCCCTTTGTGGCCAGACGGTATCTCCTAAGGGGGGAATGTGGACGTAAAATGTATTTATTTCCTTAGTTCTGTCATGGAGAATTCGGTCTGAACTCTTGAGGTCAGGCCCCTATGAGACGTCCTGGGGAAGGTGGTAAAATCGGTTTTTAGTGCTCTGGTTTGCAGGGCCCTTTAGGGAATCCCCATGAAGCTGAGCCTCTGCCCCCAACACAGCTATGGGGCTACAGATATCTGCCCATGGCTGAAACCAGATTAACACTGAACTGGATGAACCAAACCCCAGGCCTCAAGTGGAGAGTGGAGAGTCCTAATAGTGGAGAGTCCCAATAGTCCTAAGGTAAGGTATGTGACCTATAACCTGGGCCAGCTGTCAAGGAGACCTGGGAGGCCACACCAGCTGGGCAGCATTTACACAAAAGGCCTTCCTGACATCCTAGAGCAGTGGTTCCTAAATCTAGCTGAGCTTCTAAAAATCCCAGTGCCCAGGCTGTACCCCTAAGCAATTAAGTTAGAGTTCCTGAGGGTGGGACCCAGGCACCAGTGTTTTCTAAAGCTCCTCCGCTGGGTCTATTGGACAGCCGAGGGAGAACAGTGGCCTAGAGTCAGGATGGCCCCATTTCCAACCTCATTCATGGTACCTAGCTGTGCAAGCCAGACACCTAGATGCCACCACTGTGGTCCCGACATCACTAAATCCTCCTGGGCTGCCAATTTCCCCAACACCAGAGGTCACCCTCATACAGAGGACAATGAGCCTAGTGCTCCCTGCAGTTGTGTGACACGGTGACTCTGTGTGATCCTGCCACCTTAGGACCCCTCCCTCTGTCTTCTCTCTGTCCCCACTGCCACTGCCTCCTTTCAGCTCTCCCCATCACTCGCCTAGACTATTGCAATTGTCTCATTAGCTCCTTCACTAACCCTATCTGCACTGGGCCAGGTGATCTAAACACCAAATCCACTCATGCCATTCTAAAGGTCCCCATTACCTTCAGAATAAAATAAGGATCCCTCAGCTTGGCAATGAAGACTCCGTGCAACATGGCCTCTTGCTCTTCCAGAGTGTTATCTCCCACCCTTACCCCACTCCCACTCCCTGCCCCTGCCCCTCAGTGCTGCATGCTATTTCACACCTCTGTTTTTTTCCTCAGCCGCCTGGCAAACACAACCTTCCAGCTCCAGCTCCAGGGCAGCTCCTCTGGGAAGCCTTTGCAAACCCTGCTGAGCCCAAAAGGTTCCTCACGCCTCCAGGCCACCCCTCCCCAGCATGCTTCCCACAGCACTGCTATTATTTCTGTGCATCTATTTCCCTTCCTCCCATCAGCCACTTTAGGCTCCCAGAAGACTTTCATTTGCAGGCCATGGAAACCAAATAAAAAGCCAGTTGCCTGGCGCTCAGGGCAGGACCCTGGAACTACTTCCTCCTACCCACTTTGAACCTCCTCTGCACTGGTTTCCCCCAGGCCCTGACCTACTGGGTTTAGCATCTTGACTTCACTTTCTGTGGATGCCATTTGGAAACTAGGCTCTGGACTGGCTGCTGTGACTGAGCTGCCTCTGGGAACTTCCCCTGCCTTGCTCCAGCCCAGGCCCCGGGAACATGCCACATGGTCCCCCTCCAGGAAAAGGAATCATATGTGATTTCTTATGTGCATGTTCCTTGAGACAAGGGATTGGCCTGATTCACCTTTGTAACTCAAATTGTCTAATATTATGCCTAGGAATAGACCTGGCCTTTAGCAGGTATTCAATAAATGTTTAGTGGGTGGGTGGGTGGGTGGATGGATGGATGGGCAGGCTGGCTGGTAAAAGTACATATAGAAGGACAGAAAAACAGATAAATGGTATTTCCTTTCAACTTGCGCTAGTTCCTCCTGACCTCACCCTTCCAATGGGCACACCTTTCCTGCTCCCTTACACCTCCCCTCTGGTGACCAGCTAGGAGCTGTAATGGTTTCTGGGGGTGTGGACCCAAGTGTGGCTAGAAGGCAAGGAGACCAGAAAGTCACACCAGCTCACCAAAGAGGTTTCCCCTTCCCTAACTGACTGTGGCAGTGAAACTCTATGCTTGATTAACTCCTAACTTTTAATTAGGTCATATATGTCACTCATCATCTTTTCCTGGAGGTCTAAGACTGCTTTTCTTATATCTCTCAACCCCCAGCTCAATTCTGGCACACAGTTAACAGTTAATTGCTCAATGCACACTTGATCACTGAGATACCCAAAGCCCCCTAGACATGAGAATTGAGGCTCTCCCTTCACTGAAGAAGAATTGTCCCTCCTTTCTCTAGAATGTTCAGCCTCTGCAGAGATGGTTTGGCATCTGTTTCTCAATCTGGGATAAATGTTCTGGATCAAGGATCCCATTAAAATGCCTCTCAGAGCATTTAGGGAATTATGCTTGGGGAGTCCTTCTTGGCAGCAGGTAATAAATCAATCACAGCTCAGTGAAAATGCTGAGTTAGAACAGGATCACTCAGGCCCAGCTACGAAAGGAACCAGGAACACCTTTCCCTTGAGGCCCAAATTCAGAGATCCTCCTGTGGATTCATGCTTTGGACTCAGAATGACCAGCCATCCTAGTTTTCCCATTACTGTCCCAGTTTCAGCTCTAAAAGTTCTGCATCCTGGGGAGTCCCTCAGTCCCAGGCACACAGGGAGAGTTGGTCACCCCAGCCTGGTGTTCTTGAAAGAGCCCTGTGTGTGCCTCCATGTGTATCTTCCCAGCAGTTACCCTGATAGCCAGAGTCCATCTGAGTCCTCGGCCAGTGAAAAGAGGAAGAGGCTCTTGTTTTCAATCCTAGGAGTTGGATTCTGGATCTTGCTAATTGTGTTGCCCACCCCCCAGCTCCCAAATATGGGAAATTATAGAAAGGGAAGAAAAGGAAATGTACCTGAAGGAGGGAGACATTGGCAAGGCTGAGTCTGAAGAGGTAGTTCCTGTGAAAACAGAAACGGAAATCACAAGTCAGGCCGGTTCTGTAGGCAGGACCCCAGGCAGCAGCCTCCTCACCAGGGCCTCATGGGGTGCCAGGACTGAGTGCCAACTGCAGAGGGCCTAGTGCAGCTGAGACCCCAGGGAGAGCACTGTTTCCATTGGCTCATTTACTCTTCACAAGAGCCTAGGAGTAGATACAGGAAACCCCATTTTACAGATGAGTAAACAGTTGGGGTAAATGGCCCAAGACACAGAGACAGTAAGTGAAACCCAGACTTGTCTACCTCCAAGCCCCACGTGTCTCTGTTCCCCACTGACCCAGCAGGCCCAGGGAGGAACCCCTTGACTCCACCTTTTCCAACCACAGAGCCCATTTCTGTTGGACATAAAGCTTCACAGAGCTTTTGCAGGGACTCAGGCCAGCTTCCTCCTTCCCTGGCCCACCACCCTGACCCACTGCCCCTCCTCAAACAGGCCAGCCAGCTCTCCTGGCTCCACATCTCAGGACCCTGGGGTCCTGTCTGCTTCCTCATCTCTTGTAGACCCTCCTGCAGTCAGTGACTTGAGATCTGACCTTTCCATGGCCACCTCTCTGGACCACCCTGTCTCGTCTAGCCCAAATCACCCCATCCACTGCCTCATGACTTCCCCCCCGCTCAGTCCAGCCTGCCCAGGGCTGCCAGACCCTCAAACACTGTTTTCATCTTATCAGCCCACTGCTCAAAAACCTTAAATAAAAATAATGATACTACTGCTAGTAATAATATCAGACACTTTTTTTTTTTTTTTTTTTTTAAATAAAGATGATCTGCAAGGGGATCTTAACCCTTGACTTGGTGTTGTCAGCACCACACTCTCCCAAGTGAGCCACGGGCCGGCCCTATGTCAGACACTTATGGAGCACTCATAGGTATCAGGCACTGCTGAAATTTCTTTGCATGGACTTTGGAGCCAGAAAGCCACCCCACATGGACTCAGAAGTTGGGAGTCGTGCAGGTGGCAGTATCACCGGGTCACAATATCTCAGGAAAGCGATTCCTGGTTCACAGAATAGACCCTGTGGCAGAGACTGGGAGAATTCCAGCTCAGTCCCTTGCTGAGCGCCTTCTGAGAGCCTCAGTGTCTGCATCTGTACAAGGGAGAACCTAATGCCTGTCTTTCTCACTTCACAGAACTACAGAAACAGGAATGGTACGATGCACATTAAAAAGCTTTGTTAATGTCAAGCAGGTGAAGTCTTGGTTTTCTCTAAGAATTTTCTTTCTTTCTTCTATCTTCTTTCGGCCATTCCTCTTTTGGTTCCTGAACTTTTTAGGAATTACTTTAGAAAGTTCTGGCCTACCTCAGCTGTGCTGAGAAGAGAAATGAGGGGAAAGGTCATGGAGTGGGCCAGAAAGAGAAGGAGGGGCCCTCCTAAAGGAACCGGGGGGCTGGAAGGAGGCACCTCAGGTTAGGACACTTCTCTTCCAAGTCTGGCTCCAGGCCCAGGCCCCACTTAGCTTCTTTGCTGTCCCGGGGCTGGGTGGGCCTCACCAGTGACCTTGGCCCTAGGCCTCTGCTGTCCCCCCCCAGGCTCCTCCCCAGGTCCTCAGCAGAGCTTCTCCCCAACACACACACACCCTCCTGGCCTGGAGACAGATGGGCTCCAGCTCATGGCTCTGCCCCATCTGTCTGCTCAGGTAACACAGGCATCTGCTCATGGCTTTAAAGAATTAGGGGAGACATTACATCACTGTATTCATTTTTATCCCATCAAAAATCATTCATCACAACATCGCATTTGGCTCTTCTGGGAGATGAGAACAGAGAGAAATGTCTGTAGCCTGACCAGCCCTAAATCCCTTATGGAATAAGGCAGGGCTATAAAGGAATAAAAAATTTTCCTAGCCTGAACTTCAGGGGTCGAGGGGGTCAGGGAGAAGGGAAAAAAAATGTCAGGCAGAAGAGAAGGAGGAAGGAAAGTGACCTAGAGAAAGGAAGAGAAGAAAGCAGCTGGGGACCCACTATACTGGCTCTAAGCAGCGCAAGGGACCATCAAGGATTGATTACTCCCCCTGTCCATTTGAGGACATAGGCAGGCTCAAGGACCCAGAAAAAGGTGTGCCCTCACCTGTGTGTGAGAAGCCTCCAGACATGTACACGGGGAAGCCCTAGAGTGGATCAGGAAGAGCAGTGCGAGCACAGGCAGGGGACTTAACCTCTTGGAGCTTCAGTTTCTTGGTCCACAAAACAGGGGTAATCATAGAACCCACCGCCTGCGGTTATTGTGAAGATTGGGTGATTTGCTGCACGCATGACTTACTACATGTATGAGATTATTTATTTCATGAGTGATTTACTACATACATAGTATGTAAAATAGTGCCTGGCACTTGGCAGGAGCAGGATGAATGGCAGCTTTCAAAATGCTTCACAAGTTGCAAGCACAGTGGAGTCTTCAGATGCTACTATTGGGTTGTAAAAAGTACATGTGTAAAACTGATGAAACTGGAATTAGGTCAAAGGATAGTATTCTGATTGTAACCTATGACACTTATGCAAGATACTACCATTGGGGGACACCGGGTGAAGGGTACATGGCATCTCCCTGTATTATTTCTTAGAACTGCAAGTAAATCTACACTCATATCAAAATAGAAAAAAAAACAATTCCTCTCCTTGCTGGGAAAACAAAGTCCATACTCTTGTATATTTGCACATTTACAGATTACCTCTGGGAGGACAGACCCAAGGAGGGCCCTGTTTGTGTGAGAGGGGTTGGCCTGCTTTTCACTGTGACTTTTATGCCTTTTGAATGCTATACCGTAACATGAAATACTGATACAAAATAACTAGTTAGTTCAAAATTTAAAAATGAAAGGAAAATGCTTTCAGTCCCAGCTTCACAACAGCCCTGTGAGGTTGGCAGCACAGAGACTAGAACTCAGACTTTACAGATGAGGAAAGTGAGGTTCAAAGGCCAAGAGCACCCAGGACCAAAACCCAGCTCATTTCATCCCAGTACAGTGTTCTGTTCTTGACTCGCCTCCCTTTCATACAGCCAGCAAAGGGGTGGAGACACAAAGGAAAGCTCCAGAGGCAAGGGTGGTCAGCTACAGGGCAGCCCAGTGGCACCCTCTCCCAACCCCAGACCAGCTGACCCCATGACCTCCGTGGTGGAGGGCTAAAAATTACCAGTGCTGTCAGAGACTAGCAGAAAAGACTCTAGCTCTCGGGCTAGGAGACCTGGGGTCTGGTCCCCACACTCGGTTGTCATCCTGCTCTGTGATCTTGAGGGAGTGCATCAGAGTTACCTGCTGGGCCCACCCCCGAGTTTCTGATTCAAGACGGAGTGGACCCAAGGATGTGCATTTCAAACAAGTTCCCAGGGGATGCTGGTGCTGCTGGTCCAGGGACCACACACACTTCAGGACCACTGGAGTAGACCATCTCTAAGCTCCTTACCTACCAGAGCCAATGGTCTATGGCTTTGTGAGGAATTAGTTCTTCCTACTCCACACCAGAAAGTCTCCCTAATTCCTTCCTAGAGAATATTGCCTGTTGAATACTGGATCAGGATGGTGGGGATGCAGGAGCCAGGCCAGAGGGAAGTGAAGTCCTTCATAAAAGCGTCTCATGGCCTGTGCCCGGCCACCCCATGCAGCGGCCAGCAGGGGGCTCCTGGGTGCCTTCTCTGCACAAGCTCCCAGGAGTTTGCCTACTAGGCAGGTCCTTGCAGCACAGCAGGGACCGGGCAGGAGGTGGCCAGCAGGCATCTCTATTCTCACTAAGTGCTAACCACTGAGGTATGAGGGCTGGCTGAGATGGAGAGGTCTAAGGGTCACTCTTCCTGCCCCACCCCCAGCCCCCCAGCCAGCCACCACATGCTTCCTTCAGTGGGTGACAGACATTCACACACACAGAGGGGCCTGGCAGAGACCAAGAGAACACTAAGCTCATCCCGAGTAACAGTGACTCCACCCAATTCTAAGCACCCTTACTCCTGGCCCTGACCCTCCTACACCTCATTACCTGGCTCCCACGATGAGCTGGTTCCTGGGGGGATCCAGAGCGAGCTGGGAGAAATCTCTGGCTCCAGGGTAGGTGAAGTTATAGACCCACGGCTTCAGATCTGTGGGGGAGAGAGGCAACCCTTCAGTTACTATTGGACCAGGGGCTGTCAGCTACACCAGCATCAGACTGGAGAACAGAAGGGGTGAAAGTTGGGGTGAAGTGGGACAGAGGCACCCAGGAGACCTGGGTTCCACCTGCCCACTTCTGTGAGCAGCCAGCTGTGTTGGCCCAGGGGCAGGGATGGTGGTGTGGTCACTGTTGCTGCCACATGCCCTAGCTCAGAGGAGGGCTCTACCCTCCCCTGATACACTTAGGGAAACCTGTAATCACCCTTAACTCCCCCCAGACCCTCACCAGCCACCTCAATACACACAGGCAAACACTGTTCTACCTCTGAACTGTCTCCAAAACCCGTCCACTTCCTTCCCTCCATACCCCACCCCCATGCAAGCCACCATCATTTCTTGTCTGGACAGGTGCCAGCAGCTTCCTAACAGGACTGGCTTTCTGGCCTGCCCCCTCCAGACCATTTCCCACAAAGCAACCAGAGTAATCTTTCTAAAATGCAAATGTGATTATGTCCCTCTCCAGTTCAGCACCCTTGCAGAGCTCCCAGGTGCCCCCTGGAAAAGTCCCAACTCCTGGGAAGGCCTTTGGCTTCTGACCCCACCATCTTCCTGCGTCAAATGTCTGGCACATTAATCATTTAGTGACCAACTGAAAGTGATGCTTCATCTTATACATTCTCTCAAGCTCTCCACCCCCCACACACTAGACTAAAACACTTTACACTTCCCCAAATCCATCCCACAAGAGCCCACAAACCATTGCACTTCTGTTGTCCCTCAGTGGAACAGCTCCTGTTCACCCCCAACCTCGCCTCCTCCAAAAAGCCTTCCCTGACTCCCTTAAGCCATGGTGACAGACTCCCACAGTCTTCTATTTTACTGCTATCCCAGCCCCATCCCACTGTGTGTCTAGCCTGATAGTTTGCCCTGGGGACGAGGAAAGCTCCTGCTTCTTGGATCTCCAGGCCCAGCCCAGCACCTAGCAGTGTTTGAATGAATGTATGAATAGTCCTTGACTCCCTTCTTGTACCAGGAGAATCAGGTTTTCAGACAAGGTTCCATGGAGATAGGATATACAGTGGGTGGGTGGTCAGTGTCCACCCCATCTCCCAGGAAGGCTCTTCCCAGCCAAGGCCGAAGCCTTTCAAAGGGATTGGGTGGGCAGAGAGGAGACTTCACAGTGGTGCTCTGAGAAGGTGAGCCTGGGCAGTGCCAGCTGACTTTCCCTCCGCCACTCTTGCTGGAGACCCATTTCCCCATCTTGGTCCACAGCCTCTTATCAGCTCTCCCTCAGCCCATGCCTCATGGATAGGAGGGACCTGGAACCAGTAAGGAGAGCCATGGGGCAGGGGGACCTTCATGTGATGGGGGTAAAAAAGGGGCAATGCGAGTTGCTGCACTTTCTCCTCACAGTGTGTCAGCAACTGGCTCACAGAAGGCCCAGAGGAGTGTATGTGTGTAATCCAAGAGAAATAAATCATTGCTCATTATCCCTCCACTACAGAGTAAAAGCAGCCCTTCATTTCTGCATGACAGGCAAACACTTAATCGCTCCCTGGAGAACTGGAGGTTTTGCGAGTTGGATGTTTTTCAGAAAACTGTGATATGCATGATTTAAAAAAGGAGAAAGAAATTCTGCAGCAAAATGAAGCAAACCCCTTCGGCCTGCCTCTGCCCCCAGCAGGTGATTATGTGTTGGCAAGAACTGTTACATAGCCACAATGGCATCTGGGCAAATACAGGGATAAAGAGTGGATCTGCAGTCCAGTGGGCTGGGTTTTTAGCTGACCTCAGGGCCATCCTCAGAAATCCTGGTAGGATATTATACTACCTTAGAGATGAAACTAAGGGTCCTCCTCCTCCAGGAAGACTTCCTAGATTATAACCTCTCCATTCTAACCTTATTTTGTTCCACATTCTTTCTACTCCTTCTGTTCCAGTCACATTGTATGTTATTGGCACTCTGCATGTGCTCAAGTGTTTTCTGTGGGAGTGGAGGGAGTGGCTGTCCCCGTCAGACCAGGTGCTCCCTAACAGTAGCAAACAGGTTACACTTTAATTCCCTCCTTCCCTGCTGACTGAGGCATTCCAAGTATGGGCAGCTGAATGGGAGAAGAGGTGACTTGACTGGTCTGCATCAAATATTCTACCTGGGGACTTCTCAGCTCAGTCTTCATTCTTGGGGACAAGGGGAAAAAAGATGAAATGGCAGGAGCTGGGAAGACAATGGGGAGGTGGTGGTAGGGACTCCTTCCAGTTTCTGTCCCTCTCCCTTAGCCCAGAAGGCATCGATATGGGCAAGGGGGACGAGGTAAGGGAGGAGAGACACAGCTGGGCAGAGTGCAGTGATCCTGGGGGAGCCTTGGGAAGGAAGCCAGCCTCCTCTTATTAAACAGGCAACAGGACCAGAGGGAAGGCTGTCTTTAAAACACCAAGCACATTCTGAGCTCCATGTGCAGTGAAGGCTTTGGACGATGACTTAAAGAGAAAAATGACATTCTCTGTGACGCGCCTCTGATTTTAATTATAGTCAATTCAATTACCCACTTTGTGGATTAACCACCGCCAGTGTTAACTCCAGGCTGGCTTCTCCCTGCTGCCTAGAAAGTTGACGCTGTGGAAAATGAAACAACGTGCAGGCCAAAAAGAACACAGGTGGGCCCCCGTAAAAGAAACCCACAGGAGAAAATTTAACCTTTCAAATGTCAGATTCTGCAACTGGCAGCTCCTCTTGGATATTTGGGGGTTACTTGCAGATCAGTCAGGTGCCAGGGGAGAGGGAAACTCACAGCTGCAAGGTCAGAAGCCTACGGACCAGCCGGAAGTGAAGTGAAACATCTGAGGGGTCTTGGAAAGTAGGGTTAGTGCTGTGCGGGCCTAGGGCAACTTCTCCAGAACACAGCACCACCCAGAGCACAGTCCTCACCCGACGTGAACTGAGTCCATACTGCATGATCAGCAATGCTAAAGGATGCGACGAGATGAGAACCAGTCCTAGTCTAGGGCCAGCTGGGCTGGAGGACCAAAGGCAGTGACCTTAAACAACACTAGGTAACTGAGTACCCAAAGGAAACTCTTGTTCACCTCCGAGGTCCCACAGCATCCACCTCTGTACCTGGCACCAAGCAGGGTCCAATAAAAATGTTGTGAATGTACAGGAAAACTCAAAGCTCAGAAAGGGGGAGGGGCTGGGGGTGGAGCATTCCTTCATTCTGTAAGAGGGTGGGTGAGATATCAGATTCACTCAATTCACACCTTAAGCTTAAAAACGGTCTCAAGGAAGCCAGGCACTCAGGAACACATCTTCCCTCTCTCTAATCCTCTCCCATGCACCCAATTTGCCCCAGTTCAGACCAGCCTGGCTGGGGGACAGGGATTCCCCTCTCTGCTTCCATTGTCCATGCCCCAGAATCAGCCAGGCCAATAGTGCCCCTGGCAAAGCCCCTGAAAGGAAATGTTTTATTAGGAGCTGTCACAGGGGCCCCCAATGTGAGGAAGACAGCCCTAAGAATCCTGCTCCTGTCCTCCCACTCGGTCCTTCCCTTCAGCGACAGCCACCAGCACTCCAGGAGCCATCAGAAGTCTGAGGGTGTGCATGCGTTTTGTAGGCTTAGGACATTGTTAATTTACTTTAATCCACTTAAGCCTTCAAAGCCTTGGATCCCAGCTCAAACAAGACCGCACCACACTGCAGCCGAGAAAACAGCTGGAAGGCTTCCTCCCTGAGACAGGAGCCAGCGCACAGCTGGGAATCCCGCACTTCCAAAATGCCCCAGCCTCCCCACCTAGCAGCCCCCAGCTCTCAGCTGAACCCCTACCCCTCAAGTCTCAGGCCAGCCTTGGACTCATTGATTAATCGTTCTGCTCTGTTTTCATCTTGCTCCACCCCATGGGCCACGTGGAATCCCATATGATGGGGCTGCACATCTTCCCATGTAGGGCACTGGACCGCTCTGCTGTGGGCAATGTAAAGAGCAATATGTGGGCAGTCAGGCCTGGCTCTGACAAGTCTTTCCAATGCTTCATGCCTCAGTCTTCCTGTTCGTAAAAGGAGGCAACAGTCTCCTTGTCCTTCCTACCCGACGGGGTTATCACGAAGAGGAAACAGGCCAGTGTTGATTAGACTTGAGAACCAGGGGACCCCTCAGACTACATCGGCAGGTCCCACAGTGAGCTTCCATGTAGGTGGTGGATCCTGAAGTATTAATGTGATTATAACACAACCAGGGACTCCCAACTGGTTAACAGGTCATGGGAGAACATCTGGAACACTCTCGTATTTGTGCTTTGTTTTTTAGATTATAGTCAAATGTATATATGTACTAATTTTAGAAACTCTCATAGAGAACTTATGGACCCCTTGGAATATGTCCAGTGACTCACAAATCCCAGTTTGGGAAACACTTTAATAAGATACTCTCACGCCCTCCCTTGGAAAACAGAAAGAGTTATTCACCCCGGCCCCTGTTGCTGGGGGTTCCCAGGACCCCAAAGATGTCATCTCTGCAGCCATTTTAGAGCAGAAGGAAGCTTTCCAGAGATTTCCAGATACTTTCTAATGAACGAGCCATCTGCATTCTACCCTCCAGAGAATCCAAGAAATGGAGTCTATGCTTCCAGAAGAGCTGGAATTGAGACCACTAACCAACCCTTGGCTACCTCCACCCAGGGCACCCACAGCTCCTTCATTCTCCAGCAAAGGAATCCCAGCGGAAGGAATTCCCTCAGGTAAACATGGACAATGTGCCTCAATAAACTTCCTGGAAACAAAAACGAGACCCCTCCATACTTAAATCATCTATCGCCAGAAGAAGAGTCTCAGGACCCTATAGGAAATGAACATTCCAAGGACTTCCAACAGCCGGAAAGATCCTGCTGATGTCTGACCTAAGTTCTACAGGACACAGTCATTGCAAGAAAGAACAAGAGGGAAGCAGCTCTCACCTTCAAAGGCCACGGTGGGGTGCTCCCTCGGGGCACACAGCTGCTGCTCACTGCTGGGCTCACTGGAGATATCCTGGGAGCTGCAGAGGTGGGACACCAGCAGGGTGAGGATGGGCAGCAACATTGAGACGGCCAGGCATTCCAGGGCCACCATGGTGGGCTCCTCTGCAGTCCTAGCTCCCGGACAGGCTGGGGAGAAGACCTGCAATGCAAACACTCAGGCTCACCAAGAGCTCCCTCCACCAATGCCCACTTCCCTCAATTTCCTCGTGGTTGTCAGAGGCCCCACGGGGCTTTAAAAATATTTTTATATTGTATTTCTGTTACTCAGAGTTTACCCTGCTCTAGTAATGCAAAGTTATAGATCATATCTTGAAAGCTAATTTTCCTTGTAATGGTATTATGGACAAAACTGACAAATTATAGAGCCTTTTCTATTATGATCCCAAATGGTTTAAAATTAGTTTTAATGATAAAGGTGATATCTTAGGGATTTTAATAAATGGAGCTGGGGCAATGGGTAGCCATTTGTAAAAAGATAAATTTGGATCCATTACTTACACTGTATACTAGGAAAAATTCCAAATGGATAAAAGATTTAAATGTTAATAAAAATACTAAAGGAAAATTTGGGCAGAATCCTTTATACCTTACAGTGGAAAACCATGCTTCAAAATTCAGAAGCCATCAAAGAAAAGATTGACAAGTAGACTATATTAAAAGCACAAACTTCTGCATATCCACCCTCCCCCAAATGCAACATCAAGCAAAATCAAAAGGCAAATGACAAACTACAAATAATATTTGCAATTGATATTACAGAGAAGGAACTAATATTCCTAATATATAAAGAACTCCTAGGAATCAAGAAGACAACAATCCAGTAGAAAAATGGGCAAAAAATGCAAATTCAAGCAGGACTAAAAATATGAGTGATACTTATCCTCACTCATAATAAGAGCAATGAAAATTAAAACTTAGTCTGAGATACTACTTCTTACTTATTGGTTTAGCAAAAACCCTAGTTAAATGACACATTCTTTTGGTGAGGCTGTGGGGAAATGAGTACTGTCATATACTGCTGGTGAGTGTGCAAAATGGCACAACCCCTATGGAATGAAGCTGTCAGTATCTAGCAAAATTACCAATGCATTTACCCTTTGACATAGCAACCTAATTCTGAGAGTCCAGACACTTGGCAACTCAAAGTGCGGTCCATGGACCAGTGTTGATTCATGCACTGTAACAACTCCATGGTAAGGTAAATGCAGAAATGTGAGAGTCAGTGCTTAAAAATCTTTTTTTTTTTTTTTTGACTGGTAAGGGGATCGCAACCCTCAGCACGGTGTGGTCCACACCATGCTCAGCCAGTGAGTGCACCGGCCATCCCTATATAGGATCTGAACCTGCAGCCTTGGCGCTACCAGTGTCGCACTCTCCCGAGTGAGCCCCAGGGCCGGCCCTTAAAAATCTTTATAGTAATTCGATAGGGTAATTTTTATGTATATTGAATCTAATAACAAAATATTTGGGCTTATATTTTGCATGGATTTTTTTCCCCAATTCATTTCTCTAACAATTCATTTTTATTTAATTTTACATAAGTATCCATCTGTGACAGATTGTAAATTGAAAAATCAAAACTATTCTTTCACCACAGAGAGTTGAGAAGCAAAACAGACTATAGAGTCACCTGCACACGTGCAGTGACTTACATGCAAGATTATTCACTGTGGCATTCTTTAAAATAACAGGACAGGAAACAACCAAATATCCAGAAACGGGACTGCTTAAATAAACTATGGTGTATCTTCATAAATTGAATACTATGCAGCTGTAGAAAAGAATGAAGATCTTTTTTTTAGGTTTTGATGTAGAGAAATCTCCAGGTATATTAAGTGAAAAAAGCAAGGTACAGAACTGTTTAATAGCATGCTACCTTTTGTGTAAAAAGAGGGTAGAGATAAGAAAATATATTTATATTTGCTTGAATTAGCATTAACACACACTAAAAAAATCAACCAAAACTAATAAAAAGCATTACCTGTAAGTAGCAAAATGGTGATCAAGACTTCTCAATATATACTTTTTTATATTATTTTCATTTTTGACTAGGTAAGTATATCAGCTATTCAATAAAACGTTCAGATTTTAGAAACCTTTAAAAAAATAATTTTGATTCACTAAAACTTCTAACATGCAGAAGTCCATGGATTTCCCTGGAGGCCTAACTTGTCCCTTTCGAATCACCTTCCACCTTTCACCTTCCCCAGCACATCCAACGTGTCACCAAGCCCTGTGGTCAACCTCCCTCACAGGTCCCTAACCCATGGAGTGACCTCCTGGTGTCACTTTGCTCATCTATGAAATGAAAGGGTGAAGTCGACCAGGGGTTCCTGACCAGGGGTGGAGGTGAAGCAGAGTCACTGCCCCTGGGGGCAGAGTCCCAGGTGGGCAGGTGAGGGATTCCAAGACCTCCAAGGGTGACAGCCGAAGAACAAGAGGCCCCCGGGGCTCCCTCCTTCTCTAAGACCTGTGCTGCCAACACTTCCTCCCTCTTCCCTTCCTGCTGCCACTACTTTACTCCAGATCTGGAAAATTACAGTAGGATTATTTTCTTCCTGCCTGTGCTTCTTCACATGCGTGTGAAATGGGACAATACCAATCACCAAATTGCTGCCAGGCTTTAGGCCAGCACCACTAGTTCACTCAACAGACCCCCTTCTCTTCTCGCCTCCCCTGCCCGATCCTGCACCCCATAGGGAATTAGTCTCCTAAACACCTCTTTGATCCCCTCATGCTCAGGCTCAAACACATTCTCTGCCCCTCCCCAGAAGAGCCTACTCATCCCTCTTAGCAAAGACCTGTCGGGGAGGTTTGGCCCAAACTTACTCCCTGGAGCGGCTTTTTACACTGTCACCGTCAGCACAGCTGCAGCCGCATGGGGCTCAGCACTGCTGTCCATCCTTGGCGCCCACCATCCCATTTCCCTGACGCTGACCCCTGGCCTTTCGCACAGAGCCACAGGGGAATCTAAGGGCAGAGCCGACCCTCTGGGGCCAGACAACCTGAGATCAAATCCCGGCTCTTCTCCTTACTAGCTGTGTGACTCTGGGAAAAATACTTAGCTTCTCCCTGCCTTAGTTTCCCCAAATTGAGACTGATATAAACAACATCAACTTCCTCAGCAGTTGTGAGGATTACAGGAGTTATTTCCTTTAGAGCTTGTTTGGAGGTTCTAGCAGGGGAGCGCAGCTACTAGTATACCCTTGACTGAAGAATGGTCCTCTCCTCTATCGGGGAGAGTGGTACTCTTCAGCTGAGTGCACAGCTTTGGGAGGGACACAGGTGGGGTGGTGACGGAGGAAGGGGACACCTGCCTAGCCAGCCAGGTCAGCCAAATCAACCCTAGCAATCAGTGGGGTGACAGGTGTCACAACCAGATTGCCCTCATATCCAGGAGTTTTTTCTTTCAAAAGGCCTAGAACAGTGTCTAGCAGACAGTGAGTGATCAACCAGGGGGAGCTATTCTGGAGCTCTGAGGAAGAGGGACAGGGACTGTGGAGCTCCCTGTTGTCCTTTGACACTTGTGTTGGGTGCCTTCCATGTGCACCTCCAAGTCCATCCCTCCCCTCGTCCTCCCTGCTCTTGCCTGCATACAGGGCCTTCCTCCAGTTTGGGTTTGGCCAACGCAGGAAGGAGGAGGCTACATCCCTCCACAGGCCAGAGCCCCAGCATGTGGCTCCTCCACGAGCCTCCAGGATTCAGAATTGCTCCCTCTTTCCTCCCTTCAGAACCAGGGTGGTGCCACCCCCTTGGTTACCAGCCCCGGGGTACTGCACAGTCAGCTCTTCCATATGGTTCCCCAACTCCCTTCCCACACCTTTGTAAACACTTCCTTTATTAAACTGCCCTCTCATTTCCCAGTCTGAGTGTGCCATCTGTTTCCTGTGGGGACCTGACTGATGTAACACCTAATTAGAGATATTCAACACATATGCAAATATCAGCTCTTTAGACATCAGCTGGGGCTTTTCTCCATCATCCCTGGGCATCTAAGGTATCCAGACAAGTGCCCTCGCCCATTATTCCCAACCCTCCCCCTGCCCTATGCTCCCTTCCCAGGCCCCCCTGCCTCCCCACCCCAGGTCTGACCACCGCCTCAGTGCCCACAGGCCTGGGTCTCTGTGGAGCTAGGTTCTGAGTCAGGAGCACATCCTGGGCCTCTTCCCCTCCCCCAGACCCCAGGCCTTAAAGTACCTAATTCTGCAGCAGAATTTCTATTTGCATTATGGTTTTTATGTAAATATGTCCTCCAGGTTACCCCTGAATCAATAATTGCTAGATTAATATCCCTGTGTCCACCTGGACCCCAGCACAGCAAGTCTGGCTGCTGTTTCAGGAAGAGTGAGGGGAAGCACAGGACACAATTGGGGGCGGGGAAGGGGTGAGGGCAGGACCTGGATCTCCTCTACTCAGCCACCTTCCCTCCAGGTGAGGGAAGAGCACAAGAAGCCAGGGTTTGCAGCTTTGCAAATTTCAGCAGAATGGGGTGACCAATCCCCACATCACTGAGAGTGTTATTGGGTCTGACCTTTGGAAGGTGACTTCCAACTTCCAAGAACTCTCTGTCTTTGGAAATTGTCCTCCCTCCTTCGACAGAGGTAGGCCCCAGCAGCCTTACAGGTACCACGTGATCCCCACCCCAGCCCCAGCTGCTTTCACTAGGACGGTCATGTGATCGAAACAGACCAGTTAGGTGCCCTCCCATAGCAATTCGGGTGTGTGACCCCCAAGGGTCAAGTCAGTCTTTGTAGTGAAACCTAGAACATGTAAATGTGGGCCCTGCTGTGTGGGGTGAGGACAGTGTGAAGACAGAGACCAGTGACAGGGGGCAGACAGTAGAAATTCGCTGGGATGCCAACAGCCTTCCAGTTCCCAGGCTAGCCTTTCCTGAGTGAGGTCTGACTACATTCTACTTCCATGAGCCAGCCCCCTCCCAGGTCCTGGTAATAGAATTTCCTCTGTTTTTGCTTAAGCCAGTTGTAGTTGTGTCAGACCAGGAGTTGCCTGCAGGTACTGCCTCCTCAGGGTCCGCTGTCACCTTCCTCCTTTCTACTGGAGCCTCTGCAGCCTTGAGGGGCAGGGGCAGCCCGCCCTGCTCAAAACCTTTTCTACTCTTCCAGACAGAGGTGCAGTGAGATGCATGAGGAAGTCGTTGAGGGGGGAAGGCTCTAAGAGGGCTTCCCTTCTTTCCACCTAGTCCACAGGTAGGATGGATGATGCTACATTAGCCACCTACAGCTGTTAGGTGACCTGCAGCCACAAGCTATGGATGGTGATGCAGAAAGACAGGTGGAACCTGGGACGCTGATACAGAATCAGTTCCGGTCTGCCACCTCCAGACTTCTTTCCCATTTTTGACCACTGCACTTCTGTGCTCCTGTTTGTCTGTAAAATGGGGAAAATCATAACACCTACCTCATAGAATTGTTGGGAAGATTAAGTAAGTTGTTTTGTCCAACAGGCTTAGAACAGCACCTGCTGACTATTACTATTACTAGAGAACAATGCGCTCCTAATTCGTTTAAACCCTTGTTTTTCAGGTCTCAATTATCATCAGCCAAACACCCTTCCTATTCCATATGGTTTGGTTTTTCATACTTAAAACCAAATATTCCTAAGGCAAATAAGAATTTCTATTTCTAACGTGTCTGTCTGATCTGATGTTAAAATAATCCCAGGATTTTTCCACTGGCAGTGCATAGCAAGAGGCCACACAGTTTCCTGAGGGTTGTATGATACCATGGAAAGCCCTGAGCTTGCGAGGCTGCTATACCCGGGTGCAAATTTTGGTCTCATCATCTGTAAAATAAATCTGATAATTCCTTGCCTTAGAATGTTTGTAAAGCACCCAGAACTAAGTCTGGTACAGAGTTGACCCTTTATGAAATCCATTCATATAAATTTATTGGTATACATAAAACATTCAACTAGTTACTTCTGTGTCTATCCCAAGTCATTTAATCCATTTATATAATACTTCACTGAGCATTTAATGAACATCTACTATGTGCTGGGCCCTGTATAGATGGGGAAGTGGGGGATGGGGGAGGCCCACATAACAAAGCATGGTCCCTGCCTGCAAGGAGTTTACAGTCTAAAAGGGGAGAGGAGATGTGTCTGCAAAGAGCACAGACAGTGACCTGGGGTCTGCGGTCTAAATGGGGAAGGGGGCACCAAAAGCTCATGCTTTGCTCTGTCTCGGGGGCTTGTTGCTGGCACTGTGGCAGGGTGTTCTAGGAGTGGGGAAAGGGAGTGTGGCACCAGCTGACTCTTGCTATTTTGGGAAGCCCTCAGCAACAAGTAAAGTATTTTCCCAAATCTTCGGCCAGAGCTTCTCTTGCCTTCTCTCATGCTGCTGCCCCAGTTCCCTGTGGGTCCTTGGTATGCGGTCACTGATGGTGCCTGGAGTTGTGTGCATGTGTAAGAGAATGCACCCCACGCAGCACTCCCTTGAGGGCTGCTGGCCTTCTATGGGACTCTTCCAGGGCTCATTTTCCCAGCACGGATAGCAGGAGGAGGATTAGCTGAAACCATGGGAGTGATAGTGAAGGAGAGAGAGGCGCAGAGGGCCAAGGCCAAGAGCTGTTGGGAGGTCTGTGATTAGAGGGGCCTCTGCCCCGTGCTCTGGGGCCAAGCGTGAGGGAGACAGGGGCCGAGAGTGAGTGTGTTGGAGCTGAATCCCTCACAGAGCCCAAAGTGGCCTCCGGACAGGCTCCCCCTGCACAACCATGCCCTCCTCTGCCCAGACCATCCAAAGGTGGGTAGAAGCTGCGATGCCGCCCTGAGGACCACCATCACTCCAATCAGTATAAGGATGAGTAAGGGGGTCCCAGCTCTCCCGCAGTTTACAAGCTGCAAATAGACTGAACCATGGGCAGAAGATGAGCAGGCAGCAGATGATGAGGATGATCTAAGAGGAACAAGATGCCCCAGGTGAGAGGGCTGCCAGTGGGCAGGAGGTCTAAGATGCCTCGTGTAGAAGGGAGAGCTCAGGGCCGAGCCGTGGCGCACTCGGGAGGGTGCGGCGCTGGGAGCGCAGCAGTGCTCCTGCCGCGGGTTCGGATCCTATATAGGGATGACTGGTGCGCTCACAGCGCTCATTGGCTGAGCGCGGTGCGGCCGGTCTCAAAAAGAACAAAAAAAAAAAAAAAAGAAGGGAGAGCTCAGACAGGGCCTTGAAGGGAAACAAGGATGGAGCTTCCCAGCCATCAGGGGTGAGAGCATTGCAGACTGAAAGGACACAGCACGGGCAAAGACTTGGCCCTGGATCATCCTCAGATAACCCAGCAAGAAATGGCCAAGGGAAGTGTACAGGGAGATGAGTCTGGAAAGGAAGATCGGTGCCAAATCATGGTGAGACTTGAGTGCAAACCTAAAGCTTCAGGAGAGTTTCTGCTGCTGCAAAGGAGGACATGTTGATAGTTTGGAATGGTGGAAGGATGGGGTGGGATCTGTGCTTTGGGAAGTTAAATGGCAGCAGACAGTGGGGAGAACAGTTGGGAGCAGGCTACTTTTCACTAAGGCAACTCTAATAATCGGAATTGGGCACCTCTGCCTCCAGAGAACCCAGTTTTGCACTTAGAGCATGGCTGGGTCTCGGCCCGCACTTGCATTCTTGTGAGGACAGCCCAGCCCAACCGTCCCATAGAAATGGGGGGAGAATGGAGGACCAGATGGGAGGCCATGTGGGCCAGCGCTGCACCCAGGCAGGAGCTGTGGGACCACCCACACTGCTTCTCCAGAGCAACCAGGACCTCTTTTCTTTTTATTAAAAAAAAAAAAGAGGTATAATCAAAAGGAAAAGTCAATTTATGGCCCTAAAAGATGAAGGCTTGAATAACAATGGTTGGAGCATATCGAGAGTGTGCCAGGCACTGTGCTAAGATCTCACGGCAGCTTCGCAACAAAGCTGAGAGATGCCCACGCGATCGCCATTCGCAGTTGACAGGGAGGAGATGGAGGTTTTCAAAGTTGCCCAAGGTCGCGGCGCCAATTAACAATGGAGCTAGGATTTGAACCCAAGACTGTCTGCTGCAAAAGCAGACACTGGGCCACGACATGTCCTCATCATCTTCCCTTGAGGACAAACTGGCCCCAGCCCCATCGGCACATTCCACAATCCTGGCTCCACACATTCTCCAAACAGCCTTCTGAGTTTAATTTGGTTTCCTGAATTGGCTTCCTTACCAGGGAGAGCATTTTCTGGCTATAAATTATTAAGTTGACTTCCTGCTGCAAATCAGACTCCTGTGAGTTTGGGCTGTGGGAGCTAGCTTTTCCAGGTCCTGTTCAGCTTTGGAGAAACAAATTCCAGAGGTTCCAGATGGACAGGGCAGAGTCTAGCATTTACAGCCCCAAGCCCAGTGCAATGAAAGCCACCTGGCAACCCATCCCCAACCCAGGTGGGACGGCCAGGGCCAAGGTCAAGGTGGGTGGGAGAGAAGGAGATACTTTCTTTCATCCCCACCTCAAGCCCAGTCCCTGAGGACCTTTGGGGAAGGAGGTCAGGCTGTTCCTCCTCCCTTGGGCCTTCTCTCCTTGCCTCCATTCAAAGTCTCCACTTGGCTGCCTGCCTGGGAAAAGGGAGAAAAAGAGAAGGAAAAGAAAAGAAGAGGAAACAGAGGGGAAAAGAGTAGGAAAGAATGTATTCTGTCTGCAGTTTGGCAGGGAGGGGAAGGCATGGGGGGGATGCCTCTTACTCCCCCACCCCCACTCAAAGCCACCGAGGCCGTGGCCCAGCAGTGGATTTCTCTGCAGAGCTGTGCAGGCATCTTCCCACCCACCCATCACTCACCACTTGGGGGGCCAAGCTTAGCCAAACTCAGCACAAAGATAAGATTGAGATGCAGATTCCTTCCCATTGCTCTGAATAGAGCAGATTGGATACGGATTTTCCTCTTTTCTTCCCTTTTACACCATCTGGGCAACCGGGGCCCAGAGGGAAAATTGGGATCAGCTGGGGGAGGGGCAGAGGCACGGAAAGCCTTCCCAGTGCTTTTCAGCTCTTGAACCTGGGGGGTGAGGGGATGGGGATGCCCCCCACCTCATGCCCTTTCCCAGGGGCAAGTTCATTGCCTGCCTCTGCATTCTGCAATCCTCTCCATATATTCCTAGAAATCTCCAAGTTGTGCGTTTGTCCCATCAGTGTTCAGCAGTCCTTCTTCCAGACCCACCCACGTCCCTCCAACTGCAATTAAAGCCATAGGGAAGATAACGGGGGAAAATGTGATCACAGAGAATTTAACAAGAAGGGCTCTTACAGATCATTTGGTTCAACCCTGCACTTTACAGATGAAGAAATGGAAGCTTGGGGGACAGTAGCTCAAGATTAAGCAGGGAGCTAGTGGCAGAACTGAGACTAAATAATAACAATCACCACCATCACCATGTTATTTACCAGGCAGTGTTCTGTGCTCTTCATATTATGCCATTGCAATCTGCACAATAACCTTGTCCAGCAGGTACTATTATCACCCCCGTTTCAAGGATAGGGAAACTGAGGCACAAACCAGTTAAATAACACATAAGGTCAAATTGCTGGATCCAAAACCAGGCAGTCAGGCTCCAGAGCCCACCCCTTGTCCAGTCTCAGCACACCACACAGAACCCAACCATTTAGAAAACGGCATTTTTGGGGGCTGGCTGGTGAGCTCAGTTGGTTAGAGCACAGCTTTGTAACACCAAGGTCAAGGGTTCGGATCCCCATACCAGCCAGCTGTCAAAAAAAAGGGCATTATTTGGCACAGTCTTGTGAGTGGAGGCCCCACCAGGGGTCATTGGCAGACGGTGAAAGCACCTTAGTGTTTGTGATCATAGAGCCTGGACTTGCTCCTATAAACAGAGTATGTCGACACAAGGTCAGAAATGAAAATATAAAGGGAATATTTACATCACTTGGGAAAACAAGTGTGAGCATCTTGAGGACAACTTGGTTAGCAGAAGTCAAGCACGTGGAGGAAGACAGACCAAATGCATGAGGAAGAGCCTGACTTTCAAGGGAGACGACGAGGGGTTAGAAGCAGGCCCTGCCTCACGGAGTTGCAGGGTGGCTTACGTGAATAAGGGGAATGGCATGTTCTGTTCATGCCTCGCACAGACTAGTATCACAAATGGTGGTGGAAGTCACACTCAGGTGATACGATGATGATGAATAGGGTTTTGCTTCCTGTTTGCCAAACATTCTGTAATATTTTATTGTTCTTGCAAGGAAAAAGAAAACAAAGGAGACTCGCCTACTTTAATTGCTGGAATTAAATGCTAATGATATTGCCAAACACAAATCAAGCTTATCTATTCATTACAGCAGCCTCCTTTTTCTCCCGCCACGGGCAGGCTCTCTCCCAGGAAACATTTTGCTATCAGATATCCAGTTGCTGTATAAAATGAAAACTACATTGTAAAACATGCCTACAGCTCAAAAACAGACGGCAAATCCAGTAAAAGGCCTGGATTTAATTGGGCTTTCCAGCACAGTTCCACTTGCTCAATATAAACCTTTGCAGGGAGGGTCCACTTCTACCCACTCTCCTGAGCAAGGTCCCTCAACATCCGAAGAGCTAATTCTCCTATAAAGAGCTCCTAAAGCGAGAGATGGTGGTGACGATTGCACAACCGTGTAAATAGTTAATGCCACTGAACTGCACACTTAGACATGGTTAAGATGGGTTGGTAGGAATGTAAAATGGTACAGCTGCTATGTAAAGCAGCATGGCAGTTCCTCGAAAAATTAAACATAGAATTACCACATGATCCAGCAATTCCACTTCTGGGTATATACCCAAAGAACTGAAAGTGGGATATTGAAGAGATATCTGTACACTCAGGTCCATAGCAGCATTATTCACAATAGCCAAAAGGTGGAAGCAACCCAAGTGCCCATTGACAGATGAACTTATAAACAAAATGTGCTATATACCGACAACGGAATATCATTCAGCCTTATAAAGGACAGAAATTCTGACGCATGCTACAACATGGATAAACCTTGAGGACATTATTCTAGGTGAAGTAAGCCAGTCACAAAAAGACAAATACTGTATGATTCCACTTGTATGAGGTACCTAGAGTAGTCAACCTCATGGAGACAAAAAGTAGAATGGTGGTTGGCAGGAGTCAGGGAAGGGACAAATGGGGAGTTATTGTTGAATGTGTATAGAGTGTCAGTTCACAAGGAGAAAAGAGTTCTGGGGATGGATGGTGATGTGATGATTGCACAACAATGTGAATGTAATTAATGCCACTGAACCCTACACTTCAAAATAGTTAAGATGGTGGGCTGGGAAGTTAGCTCAGTTGGTTAGAGCATGGTGCTGATAACACCAAGGTCCGGGGTTCCTTCCCTGTACCAACCACCTGCTGGATGATGGAGTCTTCTCCCTGCTGTCCCCTCAGTTGTCACCCACTGCCAGCCCGTCCCCCCAGGCCACACTTACCCCTGACCAGTGAGGGAAGCCAGCTCCCTACTGTCCATCCACACCTTGGCTGTCTGGCTGGGGCATCGGGCAGCCCAGGGATGAGGTGAGCGACAGGAGACGCAGTGAAGCCACAGGGCATCCAAGAGACGCAGGCCCGGGGATTAGCTGAAACCACTCACTGAAGGGGGAGAATTTCGGGTGAGTCCATGGATACATGATGAACTAGGCAAAAGAGACGAGGTTAGGTGTGAGGCAGGGCTGTCCGATGGTCTGCGCAGTTGCCACTGTATTTGTTTTCTGTTGCTGCTGTAAACAGTCACCGCACTAGTGGCTTGGAACAATGCACATTTATCACTTTACACTTCTATAGGTCAAAGGCTGATGCAGGTCTCAATGGGCTGGAATCAGAGTGCTGGCAGGGCTGCGTCCTCTCCAGAGGCTCTAGGGGAGAACCCATTTCCTTGCCTTTTCCAGCTTCTAGAGGCTGCCCATGTTCCACTCTCTAGCCACTCTTCCATAGTTACATCTCCCTTGGACCACGGCTCAGAAAGGTTCTCTGCTTTTAAGGATCCACATGATTACACTGGGCCCACCCAGATATCCAGGATCATCTCCCCACCTCAAGGTCCTTAACTGAATCACATCTGCAAAATGACTTTTGCACTGTAACGTAACATATTCACAGATTCCAGGATAAGGACGTGGACATTTCTGGTGGGCCATAATTCTGCCTCTCACACCCACCATCAGTACTTCCACCCAGTCATTCACACATGGCAAACACATTTCTGGCACTGAGACTCATCTGTGCCTGAATTTCTGAAGGAGGAGGAGCAGTAGCCAGTAAACAGTCCCCAGCAAGACATCTCAGGCAGGAAAAAGAAGCTACTACAGACCAAGGGTCAGGGAGTGTGGATGTACGGCCCGAGGGGGTGGGGAGACGGAGGGCCAGAGATGCAGAAATGACAGGCCCAGGAAAGGGTAACAGTGTCTATCCCATGTGAAAGAGGACAGCCACAAAATGTACAGGGGAGACTGTGGGAAAGACCTTCCAGGTGAATCACACTTCAATAAGGAGAAATTCATGAACACAGGCACAAAAGTTATACCAAAGGGTGATGATCATTCACTTCCCAAAAGGATTTTCCAAAGTGTTCTTCAAGTAATGAGTTCCACTGTGTTCTTAAAATAGGATTTACACCAAATTTTTCAGTAACACATAAAGGGATGCTTGTAGATCTCTGGAAATGAAGTGAGACCAGTAACATCTGCTGCTTGCCTTCTGCGCCTGTGAAGTCAGAGGGAGATGGAAGAAAACACCGACTGCGGTGCCGGGCTAAGACTCCATCCCCCTGTGACAGTCATCCTATTTAACCCTCACAGCCACCTCACCCCCATTTCACACATGTACAAACCAAGGCTAGAGGGGAAGGAAGGTCACAACAGGCACGGAGAGGAGAGATCTTTCAGGGTGGCAAGGAGCTGTGTGCTTGGGAAGCTGTATCCCTCCTATACGCTCATGGAGGACGGGCACACAGTACTCAGGGCCATTGCTCACCTGGTGGGTCATTTCTGGGGTGACAATGAAACTTTCAATTAAGGACAAAGCCTTTCATCCTAAAGTTATTAGAGATAAGACCATGATGTAAGTGGTTGATTTCATGTGTCACCAGGGAGTCAGCGGTAAGTAGGATAAGGACAGAGACAGAAAAATACAAGGCACCAGAAAGAACGAGGGCTTTGGCTGCATTTGACTCCCTTGGCCTTCTGGAAATACTATGTGGGCGCCACAGCAGATAATATAAAGGAAGGTGCCGTAAAATATTGGACCCGTGTCTACTTTTCTGTCATTACGCTGTCCCCGTTCCTTCCAACCTCTTATTTGGCCCTAACTTTCATTTCTGGTTCTTTCTCCCAAATATGTTGTTCTCCAAGCTCTATTCCTGGTTCCTTCCTCTCTCTCTATATGGCTGCCCCTGGGTGGTCTCAGCCCCCATTCCGCTCTCCCCAGGGCTTTCACTTCCATCCCTGCTCCAACTGCCCCCAGACCTCCAGTCCCTCCTCTCTGGACTGCAGACCATACAGACCTCTCCATCTCCACCTCCATCTCCCCCAGGCATCAATATTGCGGCCTGCCCCAGCCTGCCCCAGTCAATTTGCCACTGCCCTCCCTTAACTCGCTCCTCCCACGCTCCGCACTTCTGTCAATGGTCCTCCCGTCCTCCCAGGGAGCCTGACTCACATCTCAGCATTAGACTCCATCTCCCTCATCTCCCATACCCAATCCGTTGTCAAGTCCTGGCACTTGTGCCATGACTGTGGATCTCAACCCCAGATGTCCTTGGAGCTGGCAGGTGACACAGAAGCTGAGTGGATGGGGTGGGGGTGGGGGAGGATGGGAGGGCACATGCTCCACCTGGGCAAGGCAGCGACTGCCCAGCCCTCCCCTCCTCCAGCAGACTATTGCCTTGTGAGGACTTGGGCCCAGACCTACTCATTTTTAAAGAAAATCTATACATCTGGGTTTTTGTGAAATTCCCTTGTTTTTACATGCTGGCAACCACTTGCATTTTTTGAAATCCCTATGCACACCAAACAAAACAAGTCTGCACGTAACCTCTGGGCTTCGATCTCTCTCCCACTGTTCCTTCTCTCCATTCCCACTGCCAGTATGCCAACGTGTCCACGCCTCCCTCCTGCACAAGCAAACCAGCTCCTTGCAGGGCTGCCTGGCCTGCTCCCTCCATCTACCATCCACTGGTCTCAGCCCCACAGGACAACTGTTGAGCCCTTCAGATTTAGACTCAAGGCCCTCCAGAGAATGGACAGGGAGAAGGAGAAGAGAAGACTGCTGCCACTCAGGGCAACAGAGCCATTAATTAACAAAGTTAAGCATCTGGTGTTTAATTAGCACCCTCCCTCCTCTTTCATTCTGACTCCTCTAAACTTTCCCAGAGGGGCTCCACAGTGGGTGAAACTGAGCGGAAACCAGGAGAGCAGACTTCTGGCTGAGTTGGGGCAGGTGAAGGAGAAGGGCCCAGTTTTAGTCCCCATGTTTGAAGGGTAAGAGGACAGTAGGGAGCTCTGTAGCCTCTGAGGACAGGCTAGGAAGCAGGTTTATGTTTCAGCAGGAGAGACTGGGATTATTCCAGAAGTTTCTTGGTCAGGAGCTAGGGGCCGCTAAGAGCATCAGATTATACAAGGAAGTCCCTGGCTCCCCTTGTGGCTAATGCTGTTGGTCACCTCCTGCTAGTCAACATCCCCCCCAAAATGCTTGATAACAAACCCCCATGTTGCACAGACTGACAATGTTCCTAGCCCCAGGCAAGACCACTGCTTCCAAGCCTCTCTTGCAGGTAGGGGTGCCCATGTGCATAGTTCTGGCCAACGACAAATAAGCAGAAGTCTATTGCAGACACCAGGAAGGTGTTTGCCTGCCTTGTACAAGAATGGACTCGGCAGGCACCAACCCCTTTCCTTCCTCCGCCCACCTGCCTTGCACATGAATGTGATGTCTTGAGCTACAGCAACTGAGTTTTAACTAGGAGACAAGAGGCATGAGAGGCAAGCAAGAGCGTAGCAGCATATCCCAATGCTGTTGAGCCAGTGAGCAAGGCCAGCAGCTGCTGCCACTTCCGAGCCTCTTGTTAAGTGATTAAATAAATCCCTATGTTTAAAGTTCGTGTAAGTGGTGTTTTTCTGTTACTTGCAGCCAAAAGCATTGCTAAGTGGTACATTCCCTCCCCTAAAACCTCTTCTCTACAGGGAGATAAATACTAACCACTTGTTTAATTAGAGTAGAGTAAAGTTAAGAGCAGACATGCTGCTCAGAACTCTTCCCAGCCTGGACTGCCCAGGCCTGGAGTCAGGGACTGGAAAATGGACAGCAGTGTGGGCCATGGCTGTCTTAGATGGGGGGCTCCAAGGGGAGCCCTCTCAGAGCCTACCATGGAGTGGGAGCTCAGCCAGCAGGGGTTTGTGTGAATACATGAATGGATGGATGTGCTGCTTCTTGGCACACGTGTCCCAGTGACAACCAGCTGGCAGAAAGGGACTCTCTAGCAGCTAGCTTGAATCTAGCTGACCCAAGACCCACCCTTCTCAGAAGGCCAGCCTGGAACACCTCTCCCTTCAGAAACTCCCTCCCTCTCCCCAGTTTCTATGATGCCCACTGTGGCACTAAGGCAAATGTTGGAATCCTGCCCACATCACCAGTTGTGGAGCTCTTTTACCTGCTGGTAATCCTGCACCGATTGGGTCAATTGTCGAGCTAGGGCTGGGTCTAGAGCTCACAGACCCCTCAAGCCCATTCACACACTGGGTCACAAACCCTTCACACACCCTTCACAGACTCCTCACATGCCAGACTGGGTCCCCAGACTCCTTACATGCAGGTCTATGAGCTAGATAACCAGCAAACAGGCCCTTGGAAACAGTAGGTTAGAAAGCATGGCCACTCACAGAGGTGGCCACCCAGGGCAGAATGCCAGCCAAAGTGGTGGAACTGCGCAGGCGCACTAACTCCACCCACACACAACTTGCTTACAAAGAATGCTGTACCACCCCCAACTGGGCCCAAGGCAAGAGGGCCTGATTAAATTGTTCTATTTTCCCAACACCCACCTGCCCTCTTACTTGGCACTTAATTAAACCTCCCCATTTCCTCCAAATTTGGATCCCTGGTTATACTGTAAACCCCTTAAGGCAGACACCGCCCTCCTTTTTAAGTCCCCAGAACCTAACAGTGTCTTGAACACTGAAGACAGTTGATAAATGTTTTCATTTGAGGTTGATGCTTTGGAGAGATGCTAAGAGGTAGATGGCTTTAAAAAGCTGCTCGGAAAAGAGTTCCCCTAAAAAGAATAGCCCTCAGATGTCTGTAGTCCTGCCTGAAATTTTACTATTAGACATGGATTACTTTGACAAGCTGAGTGACCTTAAGAAAAACCCTTAACCACTCCCAGCAACAGTTCTGTATAAGAAAATAATAATAAAACCGGTTTCATAGTACCATTATGAGAATCAAGTCAGCATGAAAGTTCATTGTAAGAATGTTTATTATAAGCCTTTAAGTGTGATTAGTCTTGGAAGAATTATCCTATTAATTTATTCACTTTTGAGTATAATCTTGCAGACTTCAGGATGGTGAGGAAGCTTAGACTTCTCCCTCCCAACCACCCCACAAATGACATCTATACTATCTTCAGAAGTATGTGAGGAACTTCTTGAGTTTAATTAATGTGGCATTTCATAGGAGAGGAAGAGGTAGCAGGTGTAGCAGGTGTAGCAGGTGCTGTGGGTGCCCTACCCAGATTCCCATTTCTGGGCCAGGCACACACTGCCAGCTGCTGCCAGAATTGGCTGTTAATGGT